TGTAAAGAGAATAACCATCAGTCTAATTTGTCAGTCTTACCTGTAAAATTTTTTGGTATCAACTCAGTGCATATAACGTATTTAAAACAGAGTGTGCAGTGAGTATAAATCAGTGTTTGTGCGACAGTAATATTATTCATACGTTTATTGTCTAATTATTTTTCTGTTCTTTAAAGTAACTTTTTCTTTTTTAAATGCTACGAATTTTAAAAAGTTCAAATGAAAAGAAGGTAATGTAGAGAAGAAATTAGGCGAAGTGAATTTTTTTCTTTCTGTCAAATTACTCAGTTTGACATTGATACTGACAGTTTGTCTGCTGAGCATTTGTCCAGACGTACGGTGCATCAGAGCCGTTGTCGTCGTGTTTGGCTTCTTAAGTTGTCACATGAAACCAGGCAGTGGTTCGTCCACAAATTCTACCAATTTTTGTCCTAAAAATTCATTGCTCTTTACTGGACAATAAGTAATTAGCCAATAGTGAATCAGTGGAAAATAAGAACTTAGCTATAAGCTTTAACATACAAATTTTTTGGTTTTCAAGCTCACTAAAAATGTGTATTATCAAATACTCTCATTTTAAAGTCAAGCCTCTTTTTCTTCTCAATCCACGATATTATTCCGTCCACAAAACGTTTGCGAAACTTTATACGAAATCTGTTTTCAAAGTTTTTCTAACTTGTTGTCGTATTTGTGCATCTTGTTTTACCAAAAAAAAGAAGGGCTTTTGATTTAGTTTTTTGTTGTTTATGGACTTGTTTTTAACAACCAACACAAAACTTGAATAAGTTAGTTTTTTGGAAAGCAAAGAAAGAAAAAAAAGAAACTTCTAATCATAAGAAGCATTTTTTTCTGTCATTATTAGTGAATTTTTAAGAGGAACAGCGATAAACAGGTGAAAAAAAAAGCTGTTCTTCTCTAAGAATTACATATTTTATGTAACAATTATAATTGTTATCATCGCTGTTGCTATCGTTTTTTTTTTCACCAATTTACGTTGCAGTTTATAATTCCACTTTTTGCTCAATAAAAAATTTTGTACTCGATAAAATTTTTTCCGTTTTCTTGTTTTTTTCCTACTTTTCTTAAGTATGACATTGCTAAGGTATAAGGTAACAAAAACATGTCGTTGAATATAACAGTGACAATCCTATTTTTTTTCTTTCTGTCACTTCAGAAGTCTTTAAAATTCCACAAATTTCCTTCCTCATTCCTTCCTAATTTTTTGCCGCATTTCATCCTTAGATATTTTCTGTTTTTAACAACAACAAATTCTTTTCATATGATAACTGAACAAAAAAAAACGGAACCTTTGCCTTCTTTCAGAAACAAATTTAAACGAATCATTTAACGACAAAACTATTAGCCGTTGTCATTGTTGATGGTGTTGGGGGATGGTATTGGCTTTCATTTTTTTGTCATTTTATGCCTCATAAAGTGTGCACCGAAAAAAGAAATAAAAGAATTTATATTATCTCCATATATTTGTACTACTTTCCTCTACTTTTGTACAGAAATAGACGAAATAAAACCGGAAAATAAAATACTTTTAAAATCAATTAAGGCAAATTAGGAATAACAAAAATTCAAAAGAAATTTAAGAACATTTTTTCTACTGCTGCTGTTGCCATTGATCTTCGGTCAGATGACTGGTGGTGGGCTTGTGACAACAAAGAATACGCCATTATATACACGTCTGTAAACACTGTTCATCAACAACTGTTAACTGGTTGAGCAAAAAATTTACATAAATGGAGCGCTCAAAACAACTGAAGAATAGCGCAACGGAAAATATAACGGATTACTTAAAGGCAGTCAAATTAATAGTACCAAAACTTTTTAGTAAATTTGGAATTTAGGTTTAGTCATAAATTTGATAAAGTAGGTTTACAATGAGCAGTCTAGACGAATCAGGATAACTTCCTAAGATTACAACACGAAAATTCTTTTGCCAAATATTGCTGTATCAGCTGAATCAGATCAATGTGGCTGCTATATTTACAACCGCAAAAAACAATGTTTTTTTTTCACTTATTTATAGTCAAAAATTTCTTTATCCTTCATTAGAACAAAAAATCTTTATTATGAAATTTATTACTGAAGAACAAAAAACAGGTGCACACCAACTAAACTGCTGAATATATCCGTTATAGGATTGGTTTTTACAGCATTTACAATGGTGGTAAATTCTGGAAGATAATTTAAAAAAAAAA